TCTCAAAAATTATTGTACTTTGCATGATTGGAAACAAATGCGTGATTGCGAAATGCTGTGGTGTTACTTTTACAAAGACGGTCAATGAAAAAAAGAATGTGGACCAGGGCAATACTTTGAGTTTATAGCTTGTCCAAGGTCATTCATTATTAATACTATTAGTAATATCTTTGGTAAAGACTTTGATGGCGACAGCTCGAACATAAGAGGTTGAGCTTTATTAGCTCCACCTTGCGGAAATTCCAGATACTATTATTTTACTTGCGGTACCACGTGGTATCATGCGGCACTATGCGAGAATTTACGACATTAATACGGTAACTTGCGGTAAACTTGCGGCGCATCGCAAAATAATGCGGTATCGCCCGCTTGTTTTGAATGGCTGCATCTGTATGTAATGCCTTCAGATTTATTTTAAATCCCTCTCCTGATCTGTTCCTATCAACAATAAGATCACATAGATTTTCTGTTAGCTCCTTGGTTATCTCTGCACCATGCAATCAAGAAGCCTTTAGGGAAATCCTGCACGAACAGCTGATTTTATTTAGGACTAATCAGAATAACTTCAGTTGATGTCAGGTGAAGGCAAATTACCTTTGTACATGATTTGATATGTAATTGATTAAATATAAACACAGTTACAGCTCCCTTTATAAAGGGTGTGCACATTTATGCAACCAAGGAATTGAAAGTGTTTTATTTTTAATTTTTTCCTTAAAATTATCCATTTGTTTTTTTACTTAAACGTTGTTGGTTACAAGGTCTTATTAAAGGTGAAAAAAGGTCTGAGATGATTTGTCTTGATTCCAGCCAAACGCTGAAATTTCAAAAAGGGTGTGTAGACCACTTTATATAACTCTACCAGTTACGATTTATTTATGTGCAGGGATGTGTGAGTTTACCAATTCTTTTCAGACTTTATACAAATCAGTGTACAGTAGTAGTCAAGGCAACTGTATTGTTACATTTTCAGGTGATACAGCTGTGTTTGGCATAATGTACAAAGAACAGAGAAAGCACTTTGTCTATGTATAGTAAGAAATTCATAGGTCTGTCCAATGGTGTGACACACATAACCTGATTTTCAATGTGAAAAAAAAGCTAAAGAGATGGTGTTTGATCCCAAACTGTTGGTGACCATTCATAAAGTATGTAGTGATTCACAAGGAACTTACTACTCAGGTTATGTCATACCCTGTTAGTATTTAGGAATATATAGACTGCAACCTGAGCAGGACTATTCAGGTTGAGAGTGTTTGGTCCAGAGTTCAGCAGCATTTGTATTTTTTACAAAGATTAAAAGTGTTTGGAATTGGAAAGGTAATAATGTTCCACTTTAGAATAATGTAATTAAGAATGTTCTTAGATATGGTATAACAGTGTGGTTTGGTCGTATATCAGTCCAATTAAGATAAAAAATAATCTGTCTTGTCCAAACAGCAATGAAGGTTATAGGAGTGAAGTAGCACTCTTCCTTGACGTATCTTATTTGTGAAGTTGATACCTATTATATACGTATTTCAGGATTCTAGGAAAAAAATATGTAAGGCACATCCTGTGTTTTACAGACCATAAAATCTTTAAATAAGACACTTTATAGAACATTTATTACAAATGAATTATTTCCACTGACTTTAATAATTACTTTAATATTTTATGTTGCATTGAAAACTGGAACATGCATACAGTACACATGTTACTTACTTCCTTTTATTGTTCCAGATATGAAATTTGCTTTGCAGGCTGGTCAAATACATAACACAATACATGATGCATTTAACACAACATGAACCCATTAACAAATAAGAGACATATACTGTAGGTACATATATGATAATAAATATATGTAAATAAAGTAAGATATACTGTACAGTGACTAGAAAAGTTTCACTATTGAGAAGGCAGCATCTTTGACTCTTTTTTTAGCTCTGTAGGCAAATTGCTTGGTATCCAGTAGGTGCTCTACTTGATGGAGGACATGACACATTTTTCTCAGATGACTTCACAACTAAAGAGGTCACATCCACATGTCTGAAATCATTTAATATTTTGGGGGATTTGTGCTTTTCAGCTGGTATGATTGTTGTCTGGTTCCAAATCATGTACTGTATATGTTAGAACATAAAGTATGTGAAAAATGCAGAAAAAAAATGTATTGTGTAAGAAATACTTACATATTATAATTCCATATGTAACTATGTATAAATATAGGAAATGCTATAAATATAGGTAAAACTACAGAAGCAATGCCTATTTTAAAATACTTTCCAGTATACATTATTCTTATTGAATTTTTTAGGAAAATATTTCTTTCTGCTGAACCCTAAGCCAGCTCTTACTGCAGCATGTGAGTAAACTGAAGTTGTAACCACTAACACCCAGGAAAGGATTGACATGATGTATACCAGCTAGAGTTAAATAGACGCCCTTTGCAAACACACCTGATTAAAAAGGATGTGCACCAGTGAAGGAGGTGGTCGTAATTACAGGACTATATTGAGCTCTTTAAAACATTTTAAAAAGGCTGGTTCATCATCACATGACCACTGTAGGCAGCAGTGGGTTTCCAGCCTCATCCTCTTCAGTGATCTAGAGAATCCAATTTTTTTTCAAAATGGTTTCCTGGCCACAGAGCACTGTGACTCTGAGTTTCCCTTAATTAATTATGTAACACAGGCTGCCCCTGCGGTATTATGGGATAGATATGAGCAGAATATATAAATTTTACTTTTCTTTATTCTGAGTTGCTCTTCTGAAGATAAAGAGAAACATCATAAATTGTGGTATTGATTGTCCAGTTTTCAATAGGGCCCCCATATGGTTTTGGTTCCCAAATCTTTTCTCAGGGCATCATGAAAAGTTCCACCGGGAAATGGTCATTAACCCATAATGTATAGTATACAAACTGGATATTCAGGATGATCAGAGGAATGATGCATGGGCAGGCATAAGAAGACCAGATTTAAAGAACAAAAATGTAAAGCATATCCTGCAAAAATAATATCTAATACTAATATAAATATATAATATAAATATAAATCCAGAAAATTTGATCATAATCAGACAATGAAAATGATCAGACAAGAAAATTGACAAGTATTGTGGATTTTATGTTTCCTTGACTGGACAGTACACTATTCACAAAATCTAATGGGTTGACTTTTACTTTTACTATTTTTTCTAGGGAGTTTGATTTTCAACACAAATGTTCCTGGTTGTGCTTTTTATAAAAAGGCAAATTTTATAAATATTATTGATTTTGGTAGATGCCTTTATCAAAGCTGAATTCCACTAATGCAGGCTGCCCAATAAAAAGAATGCAATATTATTAATGGAACAAGTAATAGGTTTATTCCATGCTGAAAAGAGAAGAGAGAAAACACAACGTTCCGGCTGTGAAGCCTTCTTCAGGTGTGAGGGTCAGCTCTCTTTTCAGCATGGAATAAACCAGCATGCTGACGTAGCTACCCACCTGAACTAATTGTATTCATGTTTTTTTTCAAAAATGAAAAATTAAATTTTTTTATTATCACCAAGCTTGAACACCTCCCTTCCATGCAAAGCTTTTAGTTACACTGGATATGAACTTAGTCAAGTGCTGACATACTGTACAATGCTGAAATGGTATAAAAATGTTGGTCTTGACTTCATTTGGGCTTGACTTAGTTAAGTAGTTTATGAACTGTACAGATGCAGCCATGCATATCAAAACACTTTTCCGCAGTAATCTGACTACACTGTATCACTGTATTTTTTACTTTGATACCGTGAAAAATCTTTCTATCGCTCAGTTGATTTTTGAAAGATGGAGGTGGTGTTTGAATTTCTGATTAATTGTTGTTTATGTATAATATTTATATATTATATACTGTATAATGTGTCTTTGCAGTGTAATTGAAAATGAAACTGATGATAAACCCATCACTAAGAAATGCTTTAGTTTTTAATTTAGTGTGGCACTGAATACATGTAGAAAAAACTACATTTCTAAGCATTCCACAAACACAGTCTTCCAATCATAGTGATACATTGGCAGTTAAGTGATGGAATTCTGTACCGTAACAAAAAAAAATGTGGATAAAATAAATCAATATGAATAAAAAATGCTGAATTTCTGAGAAACACACATTTTGTTGTATTTATTGCAGCATTGTGGCAAACGTGTGGCTTCTGCTCCTTAAAGAAACTCTCTGCTGTGCATTGTATCTTTACAGGACTGAAAAAAAATGGAACAGCAGAGCACAGGCACTGAACAGACTAAAAAACTGTTTTTTTCTTAAACTGGTCTATTTAATACATTTCTGTTCTGCATTTCTGTACAAGTCTGCACTATATAAAGGGTTTTTCTTTTATCAAAGAAAGGATGAAGCTAATACTCACACAAGAAGCAGAATTGTAACCTAATTTGAGTTTGTAATATTCTGTTTTATTTGTTCATATCCAGGTATTCTGCAGGTATTTATGCCTGTGTATAAACAAACAGCTACGGTTACTTAAAATGCAATTAGGAAATATATATTATTTAAATAGAATTTGGGAAAATTTTGCAAATATTTTTTTTCAACATCTGGTTTTAAAGAAGACAAAACTGGAGGACAATTGAGAAAGAGATGTACATTCCACACACAGGGAACCTTTCATTTTAACAGTTTATTTCACAAAACGGAAACAAATGAGATAAGAGATAAAACAGAGATTCTGTTTTCCTGATGGTTTTTCTAATTTGGTGACAGGGGCTTCAATTAAGGGTGAAACAGACATTTTCAATTTAACACAGAACAAATACATTACAAAATCTTCTCACCTCAGCATTTATGGACTTCCATTCCCAAATGTCTGCTCTCCTCAGATAAAAGTTATTGTTAATCCACTAAATACACTAAGTTTATCCACTAAATGTGGTAATTTTACTACTATTGTTAATTTTCAGAGGAACAACTATGAACATTTCTATGGAGCCTGCCTTCTTATATTTATTTATATATTTGCTTTTCTTGCAGTGAGCGATAGCTGCTTTCGGAACCTTGCCGAAGACCGGAGTGGAATCAACCTGAAAGAACTTGTTCATGATCCGACTCTGTAAGTAAATTCCGACAAGGATTGAATAAATTTCAAACCTAGAACAGGACAGAAATAATACCCGACCTGTAACCTCCCGCAAGAACAGAATAAAAGCCCAATCTGTAACCTCCCACAACAACAGAAATGACACCCAACCTGTACACCCAAACAGTAACCTCCCTCAAGGACAGAATAAACATTCAACCTGTAACCTCCAGTAACGTTCTGCAAGGAAAAAATACCTAGCCTGCACTGCTGTTGCATCCAATGCCTGGAATTATATAGCCACTCAGAGAAATGCAATTAACAACACCTAGTCAACGACATAAAATGTGACTCCACACGTATTGAGAAATCTTCTTTGTGAGGAGAAGGTACAGATCCAGGCATTCCAAATGGTCGAAGCATCATGTGCCATACTGCAGTGGTAACACAAAATATGTTTGTAAAAGTTCCAGATGGTGCACTGAATGCTTAACGTGGCATGTGGAATAACTCTGGGCTTTCACGCAAACATCCTGAGTTCAAATTCCAGACAATGCCCAGCCCCTTGGAGATAATCTTAATAACATTTAATTTATATATTACATTTACATGTTTATTCATTTTATATATCATAGTATGTTAAATATTAAATTGATATTAAAATAAAAGTAGGACTGTTTCACAAAGCAAGATTACTCATCCAGATATATAAAAAATACTTTATAAGCCTTTGTGAATCCAACGTTTTCCTTCAGGATTACATCTGCATTAACAGCCTATGTTTGTCTTTGTACTAATTTAAGAAAACAATTTTATTTTAGATTTCAATTCTAAAAAAATATTCTACACATACTATACTGTAGTATAGGCTTTAAAACCATATGGTACAAAACTGCATTTACTGTATATGTTGTACAGTATATGTATGTGCGGTTGATTACAGCACAGTATAACACAATACTGCGCAGTCCAAAGAAAAATTGGGAGTTGAATTGTTTCTGAGAGAATTGGCCCCAGTGTGATTTTGTATGTGTGTATTTGTATAAAATATTATGAGTACTTAGTGATTAAGGCTCTTGGACAAAAAAATATGTGATCAATTGCAGCATTATCCTCATGACAAACCTAAGTTGAAAGCGATCCTGCAGAAGGAGAAGGTGGGTTTGGGCCTCTTTAAATTCTGGAATATACCCACATTTACCTAAACCTTATCTTGTTGCTTGCAAGCTGTTTGGCATTGTCATATTTAAGGCAAGTGTGTTAAGTAGCTATGGCTCAGCCTTTGTTACAGAAATCATGTATTTTTATGCATCGTGTTTTTTATTGCACTTAAGACTTAAGACTTAAGACTTTGCTATTGCCATTGTTGTTGTTTTTCAGGAAAGGGTGATAGTGGATAAATAGTGTAGAAGATTTTTTATGTGCTTCACAGCATTCAAGGGAGAGATGGTGGCATTATTATTTATTTTTAATCTTTATTTATATTATATATATTATATATTTGTTATAATGGGGAGCCAGTCAGACGAAAAAGAGTTGGGTGCTAGTTTTTAAGGTGAGGCATCATAAGTTAGTGATTGGTTAGAATGTTATCAGGTATAGTTCTGGAACCAACCCTACAGATCTCCCATTGGTTGATCTTACTTTGGGTGATGAACAGTGACCTTGGCACCATGGTCTTGGGAAGAAACAGACTACAGGCTTATGGAGCCCATCTGTACTATATATCATTAGATGGTTCAGCATTGAATGTACCTTTATGATTTTTAGATGGTCCTATTAGCCTCATTCCTGTACATTAACTCAAAGGCCAAAGGTGCTTGGTCAAGGGAACACAAAGATTATTAGAAATCTTTTGTAACACTTAATTCTTAGTGTAATAATATGTTTTGCCACTACACCCCTTTTCTAATCTAAGCAGAGGCACATACCAGTGCATTACACTGTGAAAGACTGAGGTCAGGGTTGAAAGCCCTTTTGCAGTCTGAAGCCGACTGCTTCCTGTACAGTATGTCTGTTGTACCCAATATGTGATGCATGCTCTGTCAAGATCAAGATCAAGAATTTGGCACATTTGGAGAATTGTTTGGGTCATGATTGGGCAAGCAGTAGGGCACATACAATTTAATCAAACCATGATTTTAAGGACAGTATGGTGTGACTCATAATAGATGTTTTGATTATCTTGGTCCCAGCTACTGTACATTCTCCCATCTCCCGGGGGAAGAAAGGGAATCTCTCAGCTGGGAATCTCTCATACAGGACTCAGACTAACAGTCTCAGATACAAGGTTTGGCAGAATGTTGCTGAAGCTTTTGGCATTTCAATTAAATTTACTTTTTATTGTCGTCTCTTATCTTTTTTATTAAATGACTCCTATGTGATCTGTCACTCAGTTTCAGTGTAAAATTGCAAGAGTGCTTACAGAGTCTTTAATCTCTCCTGCTGTCCAGGGTATCCTCTCTCCCAGGTTGAGCCATCTTAGGAGCTTTTTAAAACTTTCTCTCAATAGCTTTATTCATTTATTCATGAATCTAGTGCAGGCATCTTGAAAGCATTTGAGACTAATGATTCAGCTTAGTTTGCAAATAAAATTATAAATAAAAGGTAAGTTAATATGATTAGATGTCTTTGGAAAAATGCTAGTGGTCTCACTAAGAATGTTGGAAACAATGGTTGTAATTTGTGTTATTTTAGGTGCAGGTGTTTTCCGTAATTGTTTTTTTTTCATAATGTATTAAATCTCAAAAACTGACCCTGAACATTTAAATATTTTGTTTCAAAGGTAGAATTGCTGTCAGTATATTATGATGTATGTCTAAATTAGCTCAAATGGAACATGCTGAAGGAGGAAGTTAAATATTGTAAATGGTAATCTTTTCACTGTACTATGTAAAATATGCTACTTTGACAGAAGTCTGACAGGGCCTTTTGCATCTCTTTTGCAAGTCTTTTCCTTCAATATACAGTATGTTTGTTAGCCCTTGGTATTTCTCAAAAGACATTAATAAAATTGCCAGGGCATTTCCTCTTGCTAGCTGTGTCAAAATCATCATTTAGGTATTAGAGAACTAGCAGATTAATAGCAGTATCATAAACTGTAGATACATGGTTACTTCAGATATACAATACTTTGATTTTATTACAAGGAGGTTTTGATCATGTGGAATTAGGAATTAACTAGAATCTCCATGTACTGTATTTTGTTACAAAGTGCAATCTACAAGATATGTGTAAGTGTTTGAAGTGGGGTGCTTGAAATTGTCAAATGCAAAATTTTATTCTTGTTGTGTTACATTGCTTTCTCTCAGACTTTGAGAGTCATCAGTTTCTTACTCTCAGATGCATTAATGTTCTGCACACAGTGACAGGGTCCAAAATTCTGCAAATGATTCTGCCCCATGACTGGATCAAGATGCTTCACCTCCACTTATTCTTTACTTACCCAGAGTTCAGGATTAACCAAAGTTAAAAGTAAAGGTATACTGGATTCTAGCCTGATGGTTTAAGTGGATTTTGTACCAGTTTGTACCAGTACAAGTTTTTGTTAACATGCAAATTGTTACACCACTTAGCTCTGTGAGATTTGAATAACCTTTTGATTTACCATCAGTGCAAACATCATCCCTTCGAGTTCTGGTTTTTGGTGTTTGATATCAAGTTTCATAGCTCCCTGTAGCTACTGCTTTTAAAGTGAACTCTTTGTTCCACTCACTAGAGTATGCAACAGCACCTATGTTTTAGAAACTTTTCAAATTATTGAAATCTTAAATGTTTTCAATATATGTTTCAGAGCATGTACAAGGGCATTGATATACTGTATAATGCAGAAATAATATTTAACAGAGCATCTCTTTTACACCTTTTTGTGGGAAAATGGATCAAAAGTGCAAAGACAGTGGCAGATCAATGAGGATTTTGGATAAATGAAACACAAGCAGATTTGGGAAGGAGAGATCAGTGTCAGACAGGCAGGCAGACAGATTTTGCCTTACGTATTTCTACTGATTCAGAATGCATTGTACATGGGGGATTGGGTTTGCTATTTAAATATCAATAACTAGTACAAGTCATGTGTAGCACCTCATTTCTGTAAGAGCAAGGTTTCCTAGCTGATATCAGTGAAAGAAGAAACAATCAGTTCAATTTGAACTTGATTTTAGAATCAGTCAACCTTACTTCAAAATTTATTTTTTATTTTTAAATACCAAATTACTTTGATTCACAGTCATTTTAAAGGGATGATGTAAAATAAAGACCTGAAACCTGAAGCCCTTCTTGTACATCAATAGTTTTTAGCTCTCAATATTTGTGCCATTCCTAGAATTCAAATACATAAGGTGGGAGGCAGGTTACTTTGTTGTTAAATCTTTTTACACATTGAAGTTCCTACCCAGTTACATCAGATAGGCTCTATCTCCTAGCTGAGATTCAGTTCAAGATTGTTTTCTCTTGAGTTCCTTTTTTTGCTTTGTAAAACACTTAAGGAAATGAACTAGAGGAATCTCAATAGCTTCCAAGCCAAGCAGTCTGATTGTTGTTCATGAAAACACAGATGGTTCTGAGAACCCACACCCAGATGGATCCTCTCAGGCCCTATGATCCCCACCGGCTCTGCTGGACCTTGCTTCATTGTGAAATGCTTCAACCAAAAAGCCTGTTTTTTTTATTTTCGTGCATTGCTTACCTGTTCATGTGCCATGCTTTCCATTCAAATTCAATTCAAAAGAGACCAGAAGTACAGTGCCATGTGAAAGCTATTCACAGTTAATTGGTGATACATCTAATCTCACAACTAATGTGCTCTTAACTTTCACAGCTTATGCATTTGTACTGACATCGTTATGTGGTCATTGTCAGCACACCTACAAGAGCTGGTTAGTGTGCATATACAGTCATCTTTTTTACTTTTAATTTATTTCATTTACTGTTTTAGAACACTTTAATAGGTTAATAGAGTGGTTTTATAACAGTTGTATGGTAAGGGCCAAGTGACACATTACATACCTTTTGAGAAAGCATATTATTGTTTA